GTGTGTGTGTGTGTGCGTGTGTGTGTGGGTGTGTGCGTGTGCGTGTGCGTGTGCGTGTGCGTGTGCGTGTGCGTGTGCGCGCGCGTGTGCGTGTGCGTGTGCGTGTGCGTGTGTCTGTGTGTGTGTCTGTGTGTTTGTGTCCCAGGGCCCCCCTCAAACACAGTCCCGTGGGGCCGTCCTAGGGCATGGCGGGGGCCAGGATTCCCAATCGTGAGGTCGGGCGACGAGGCCCCCGACGCCCGCGGGAGCTCGCGAGAGCCCTGGGGGCGCCCGTAAAGCGAGCGTTCGTGGCCCTCGAGTCTGCGAGAGAAGGGGAACAAAAAACAACATCAACATAACAACTCGGAGGTCCGCGCGGATTTCTCAGATCGGCGCTGGGGCCCCCCGGCGGCGCCTCCGGCGCCGCCCCTGGCGCGCTCCGCGCGCTAGGGAGGGGGGTCAGCGCCGATCCGAGAAATCCGTGCGGACCTCCGAGTTGTTATGTTGATGTTATTTGTTGTTCCCCTACTAAGGGCCACCAGCGATGCCATGAGGGACACCCCGCTGCGCGCTGGGGGGTACGGTCGGGGCCCTGAAGAAGGATCCCTGTTCGTTGGGGAGGGGCTCGGTGTTCCTTGATCGTTCTGCAGTGTGCCTTCTGTTTTCCTAAGTTCTTTGCCAGGGGAAATCGAAGTTCAACTTATGGGAGAAAGGGGCCCCATTCCTGAATTAGGGTTCCTTAGGTCAACGCCCCGACTGTACGGTGGTGGATAAGCGGTCGTCCTCTCAGCGAGCGCCCCAGTTTTCAAGTGCGTCCAGTGACAAGTTGGGCCACGTTCCTAGATGCATGTGGCCTGAGTTGCATCCGGGTGGTACGAATTGCAATGGCAGTTGTCCTCATCCAAGCTCTTTTCTAGCACGACTTCTATAGAACGCACAGTGAGGGTGCAAAGCCCGCTGATCGGGGGCCACACTGGCAAGCATATCTAACAGCCTCCTCTATCTACGACTTGATTCGCATTCCGATGTGACTTACCCGCGGAATAACCGCGAGACAACATGCGGGGTAACCATCGGACAACCGCGGGACAGCCGCGCGGCGACCACGGGACAGCGGAACAACCCACGGCACAGCCGCGGGATAACCCTTGCACGAACCACGGGATCATTCATGGGACAACCGCGAGATAATCATTGGGACAGCCACGCGTTCCATCGCAAGACCCGCGGGCGGGGGATATGTGTTGTCCGATGTGGCTTCAGCCATTGCGGACACACCATCGCCTCGCGCAGATTCGCCCCGCCCGCAGACTCGATGAAAGCGGAAACCGAAACGGGCTTCTTGGTTGGGATCATTTTGCGTTCGCGCCCCCCCCCCCCCCACATCCGAGTAAAGCAGGTTGCATGTTGACGGTTCGAGCCAGCTACGCAGTCCTTGATTGAGCAGTTGCGTTATGGGGTACTATCGGGTTATTTGTTTTGCCACAGATCTGCATCATATGTCAGGAAGGTGGTATCGTTGCAGCACGGGCGACTTGCAGACGGAAGAGCGAGTGGTCAACGATTCCAGCAAAAGTACACATCTATTTGGGGACCACGCAGTACACGCAATGCCCGCAGCAAGCCGCTTTAGACCCGCTCTCAAACCGTAGAGATGAAAGGAAATTGGCAAAGGCAGTATATCCGTATTCAACCGTCGATGATGACGATACAGGGGAGGATGTCGACGATAGCGTCTCGCAGAATCGCACGACCAGGCCCCACAGCAGACCCCAAACGCCGTCGTCCACGATCTGCAGGATCATCGGCCCGATGTGTTGCGGGCGCTGCGCAAACAATGGTTGTCGCTTCCAGGTCATGGTTGCGTCTCTCAGTCATCACGACAAGTAGTGAGAGAAGACATAGTGCACCCAAAGACTTATGAAGAAGCTTGCAGTGCAGTTTTCTCGGGCGGAGAAAGGCACGAACATGTTCGGACAGACGGGCGGGAAGACTTGGATGCCCACCATGACGCGTAACTGTCGCCCTGCGAATGCACAACTCGGAATGCTATGGCAAAGCGTGGTCGCTGGAAGCCATGAGGGTGAGTCAGTTCCCAAGCCATCTCCCAAGCGACAGCCGCAAGTGCCCAATTGGTCTGATGAACGAATTGACCAGGGAGTCGACGCAGAGCACGGCTAGTCCATTAGACCAGTTCTGTTTGCAGGTAACGATGCAAAGCCGAACAGCGACAAGAGGCATACAAATATTAGCCAGTAGGAGGTGAACGAAGTTGTTCGCGCCAAGCGGAGCAAGAGAAGCACTCGCTATTATGGGTGGCGCGTCCAAGCTGTGGAATCCATCCTATCGAACACGTTCCTGGATCCATAGAGGCCATTCGATTACAGAACAACGGCAGAGGAGGCTAAGCGACACCATGCAGTATGGCCAGGGCTTACGCTCCAGGGCCGCATGCAGGCAGTCAAGCGCCCATGCATGTGTTGATGCTTGTGAGCTTGAACAATGCTGGCAGAGAGGAGGAGGCGGAGGAGGAATTGATGAGGGAAGCAAAGGGTGGAAGCAAATGCCGCACGACATCCCCCTCCCCCTCACCGCCCTCCAGTCTCCTCTTGGAGCGCGCGCCACCTGGGTAAAGATTTCAGAAGATGTCTTCGTCCTCCCGCACCCCACCCATAGCTCACGGAAAGTAGCACTACTTCCGAGAGTTACGAGTTTCACGACGCAAGCAGCGTGACACTTCGAACGGTTTGCAAGGGATACGGTCTCGAGAGTTTCCACTAAACATTGCAAGCCGGTGCCATTCTCAAGGTATTACATTTGGGGATCGGATGGCCCTTGGCCATGACATGAGGGTCATTTCCGCGTAAACGCTTATCCTTCGTTTCCTCTTCCCACGCCTCCATGATATTCTTTTCTGAGTTCCCCACCAATCGCCCTTCATCGTCGTCGTAGTCGTTGTCATCTTCCTCCGCCTCCTCGACCTTATCCTTGCCTCCCTGGTGGCGTGCGTGGCCCTGCCACGGGCATACCATGCCAGAACCCTCTGGCTTCCCAAACACGGGATCCTGCGGGGAAGCACTGCTGGTGCAGTTCTGCCATCGCAAGCGCCGAGGCTACGATGCGCATCGAGAGGCTTCCTCTGTGTGGGGAGCTCCTCCGCCGCATCCTCCGCGCGCGCGCGCGCGCTGACCTCGGAGCCCGCCCGCCCCCGCTGGGCTCGGGGTCGGACTGGCGGCGAGGGCGGGCGCCCCCCCGCGGCGCGCAGGTCTGGGGCATGCGCGTCGCCGAGCTGGAGAAGATGTACACCGGCCCCCGGCAGGACCGGGCCCCGCCGGGGCGGAGGGACGGCACGGGGGTGGGCCGGGCCGGGGGGCAAGGACGGGGCGGCGCGGGAGGAAGTGCGCTCACGAGAGGAGGGGGGAATGGGGAGCGGCGAGCGGGAACCGCGGGCGGGGGGGGGGAGGCCCGAGGAGAGCGAGGCGGGGAGGTCTAGAAGGAAGGGGCGAGAGGCCCGCTGCCCAGCGCCCCCCGCCCCCCCCCGCGCGCCCGGCGGGGCTGCCGGAGCCTTGGCAGGGGCCGGCTGGCCATGGCACCCCGGGGAGCCGCGGGGCCGAGCCCTTCGCGCGAGGCCCAGAGAGCCTCGCCGTGCCCGCGGCGCTGTGGGAAAAAGCACACACAAAACACATTGTGGGAAACACACACACACACACACTGTGTGTGTGTGTGTTTGTGTGTGTGTGTGTGTGAGTGTGTGTGTGTGTGTTGTTTTGTTTTTGTTGTTTTTGTGATTTGTCCTACAGTGTGTTGTTTTTTTGTATTTTTTGATTGTTTTTTCCCACATAGCGCTGCCCTGCAGCGCAGACGCTGTCCGTGCGCTCGTGTTCCTCAACCCCCAGCCGTTTTGGTGCGCGGCGCGGCCCGACCTCCTTGGGCAGTGAAGGCGGCGGGTAGGCTCCCAGATGTTGCCATCGGCGGGCCTTCTCCACGGCCTGCAGGGTTCTTTCGGAGGTCTGGAGGAGCTCCATGACGGCCTCGAGGTCTTCCAGGGGCCTCGAGCAAAAATTGGCCTCTGCGTCTCCATGGCCAGTTTCGGCTCGTAGTTGTCATGCGGGCCAATCTCGATCTGGTCGTCAGTAGAGGGCGAAGAAGAGCCGTTCTCGCATTGCCAGCGGGTGGGTCTTAGCTGCATGGTATCAAGGGTGGTGCTGACAGGGCGAGGTCTCCTGTACCCCCTAGGAGCTGTTGGAAGGTTTGGGGTGACTTCTGAAGTCGTCGAGCCTCTCCTCGAGACTCCCCCCGTGGCAACCTCCAAAACATTCCGTTCGCTTCTGGGAGGTGATCTCGGGCCGTGGCCGGGTTGTAGTGCCAAGTTCCGCTTGCGCACTCGGTGCGATCCCAGCTGCCCGTGGCGAGCAGGGCTCGTTGGCTCCGAGTGCTGACCAGGTCTGGGCCAGGCGAGGGCCCGAGTCAGAGCCTGCAGAGGAGACATGATCCCTTGCTTCAGGAGGGGAAAAAATCGCACAGACACAATTAATCGTCCACTCCCAGGAAAATATGGGAAGATATGGGAAGTGGGGGGAAGACGAAAACTAACAAACAGATAGGAAAGTATGGGGAATCATTTTATTGGTGCGTATTTATTTGTGTGTCCTGGGGCCCCTTCATTGTTGGCGGCCCAGGTCGGTGACGGCCCGCGGGCTCCGCGGTATCTGCGCCTCCTCCCGGGGAGCCGCCAGAGGACCCCGGTGGAGCTGCCGCCAGCGGCAGGGCGGCGGCGGGCGCTGCGGCCCGCGAGGCGGGCACTGCTTCGCCTCTGCGGGCTAAAGGGGGGAGGCGTCCTCTCGCTCTCTCTCTCTCTCTCTGTCTCTCTCTCTCTCTCTCTCTCCTCTCTTTCTTCTCTCTCTCTCTCTCTCTTTCTCTCTTTTTTTTTTCTCTCTCTCTCTCTCTCTCGTTCTCTCTCTCTCTCTGCTCCCAGACAGTACGGGCTCGTTGTTTTGCGTTTCCCCTCGAAGTTGTTATCCCCCTCAGGTGGGTCGGCGGGGTGTCTGGGGATGTGTTTCCCAACCGTCCTGTGGTGTTGGGTCCTCGTTTTGAAGAGACGGCGCCCCGCGTTTCCTCCTCCCGCCTCCGTCCTCCTCCCCCTCTTCCATTCTCCATACGTGCCAGTACAGCGCTTCGTGGCCCCATAGGGAGCTCCAACGACAGTCCCAGTGCTACCGCCCGCATGCGTCCCCCCCCCCACCCAGCACAGCGCTGCGTGGCCCCATAGGGAGCTCCACCGACGGCCCCAGTACTACCGCCCGCATGCGTCCCACCCACCCAGTACAGCGGCTCGTGGGCCCCTTAGGGTGCTCCACCGACGGCCCCAGTACTACCGCCCGCATGCGTCCCCCCCACCCAGTACAGCACTTTGTGGCCCCATAGGGAACCCCACCGAAGGCCCAAGTATTACCGCCTGCATGCGCCCCCCCACCTAGTACAGCACTTCGTGGCCCCATACGAGCTCCACCGAAGGTCCCAGTGCTACCGCCCGCATGCGGCTGGGGTCCCTCCGGCGGGCCTCGGTGGCCGTCGTGGGGCGATCGTCGAGGCGCTGGGGCCGTCCTAAGAGGCCGTCGAGGCGGAAACGGCGAGCGTGCTAAAAGTGCAGCGTTATTAGTGGGAATTGGACGATGTGTCCATCGTGGCGTCCTCCTGGCGGTCCTGTGGGAGCATTCGTGGGCCATCTCGGGGGCGTTCTTGGGCCATCTCGGGGGCGCTGGGGCCGTCGAAGATGCAGTCGAGGCGAAAACGGCGAGTGCGCGAAAAGTGCAGCGTTCTACTGGGAATTGGGTGATGCGTCCCTCGTGTTAAGACGTTCCAGCCGATTTTGGCCTTGACCACCAGAAAGAAGTTCGAGCACCCAAGAAAATGACGAAACTCTAGGGTTTTCACACTTCGGGCCCTAAATGTTTCCCACGCCTCTTCCCCGCAGCAAGCGGAGGCAGGCGGACTTGCAGACGCCGGATTGGAGTCATGATGTCGTGTTTATGTTGGCTTGGTTTGACAGTGCGTTTGCTGTGCTTGCCGCGAGCGCAATGGCACCGTGCGCAGGCTGACTACGCCATGCAGCCGACCGATGGCCGGGGGGTGCAGCGCGCCGTCGTGGCGCCCGCGCATTTCCGGGAGGGGCCGGGGCATCCCCCGACGCCTAGGAGGAAGGATGCGATCGAAACAGTTTGGGGTGTCGCTCGTGATGTTCGGTTGTCTGGACCGTCGGGGCAGACGCCTTGTCGCCATGGCGCGTGCTGGCCCCATGCGCGGATGGGTCGGGGGCGGAAAAGAGGGGGGTGATGACCAGGGGGGTGGACATCACGGCGGGGGCCATTATCTTTCCCAAGATAGCGTGGCGCCTCCTCTTGTTTCCTTACGTCCCTGGCCCCCCCGCTGGGCCGCGCACGTGCCGCCGATCACGATCTGCACGCCCCCCCCTCTTGGAGGAGGATAGGGAGGAGGAGGAGGAGGAGGATCTTGGACCCCCCCCCCCTCTTGGCCGCTCCCGAATGGGGACTGCGGCCGACAGGCGGTAGCCGAGCGGACCCCTCCCGAGGGAGGCCAGGTGGGGTGGGGCAGCTCCCGCGGCGCTGCGACGGGGGACCCGTACCAGACATCGCCACTCAGGAGGGAGGAGGAGGAGGAGGAGGAGGAGGAGGAGGAATACACAGACACAATTCATCGTCGATTCCCCAGAAAATGTGGGGAAAATCTGGGAATTGGGGGGGGGAAGTGAAGAGCCCAGAAGATATGGGAACATGGGGGGATTTGTTTCATGTGTGCGTATTTATTTGTGTGTCCCAGGGCCCCTTCAGCCACCCATATTCGACAGCGTGCATGAGGTGCCCCAGCGATCTCGGAGGTGCACGGGTGAATTTCGTTCGCGGGCACTCGGTTCTGCGGATGCCCAGACGGTTGGGGAGATGCTCGGCCATGCGGTGGAGCTTGCGCCGCAGCCACGAGCATCGTCCTGTGCTACTCCACAGCATCGAAAACAGCCAGGAACTCTCAGGGGCCCTTGTGTCATTTTCGCGATGACTCCTCTCGCAATCACAACGTGGATGTTATTCACGTAGGCGCGACCCATGAGACCTTGGGGCGCGCATACCTCGCGGACATCTCTTCGAGTCAAGCCGGCAGTGAGGAGCTTCGTCGTTGGATCGCCAAGCCACAGCACGTCCGCCTCGACCCTCGACCGCCTTGGTTGCAGGGACGGGCAGAGAGCACTGCCCAGCCCGGTCCCCCAGGGGCCTCGAGGCCTTGGACATCGAGCCAGGCCCCGCCTGGGAGGCACGAGTTTCGTCGAGACTTGAGTTCTGGTCACGATGGGTCCTGCCAGTGTGGTGCGCGGCATGTTTCGGAGGAGGAGGAGGAGGTGGAGGAGGAGGAGGAGGAGGAGGAGGAGAAGGAGGAGGAGGAGTTGCCGGCGCACCGCTGAACCCGCCCCTCCCTGTCTCTTCGGCCTCCCACGTGCGGTCCCTCCCTCGAGTCCGCCACGGGCGGGGAGGAGTACATCTTCGCGCTGGAGGCCGAGAACGCACAGCTGCGCGGCGAGCTCGGGCAGGCCAGGGACGACCTGGCGCAGGCACAGAGCGACCTGGCACGCCTGCAGTGCCGGCTGTCGGAGGCAGCGGCCGGCGGGGAGGTGTGGTTGATTGGAAGGGCAGGGTTGGACTCCTCCCCCTCCCCTCCTCCCTCCTCCTCTCTCCTCCTCCTCCTCCTCCTCCTCCTCCCTCTCCTCCTCCTCCCTCCTCCTCCTCCTCCTCCTCCTCCTCCTCCTCCTCCTCCTCCTCGGTCATCATCATCCATCCTCCTTCATCCTCATCGCCCCTCCTCAGAGACTCCCTCTTCATCCTCCATCCTCGTCCTCCGAAGGGCAGCTCCTCATCGTCATCCTCCATCCTCATCGTCCGTCCTCAGACACTCCCTCCTTGTCCTCAATCCTCGCCCTCCGAAGGGTCGCCAGCAGCAGCCAAAACGGTCAGCAGGCCTTCCCCGGGGACTGCAGGGGCCTGCTCCCCTCCAGCGGCACACACACACACACACACCCCTCGTTCGAGCATCTTGTCTGCAAGCTCGAGCTTGGCCGCATCCTCAGCAATGCCGAGCGCGGAGCTCGCGGCGGCCTGTCGCTGGCCACATCTAAGGTTCGCAGGCCACGTTGTAGACACCTGGGAACACCAGAAGTAGGACCGATTCCCACGCGCAGTCCAGCGAGGGCCATTCTATTTCTCTGCGCTGTGTTCTAGGGCTTGGGCATCCGTGCTTTCGTTCCTTCGTTCGCCGCTCGCTCCATCGCTCGTGGTCCCCCCCCCTCCCCCCGCCCCATGCCTGCCTCGCCTCAGGCCGTGGCCCTCCCCCCCCCCCCTGGTCCAGGACCCTTGGCCTGCTCCCCCAGCAGGCCGCGGCCCTCTGCCCCTCTCGGCCGTGCCCCCCCCCCCCCGCCCCCGTCCAGGGCCACTCGGCCCGCGCTCCTCCTGCCGGGGGCGCCCCCGATACCCCCCGTGGACCCGTCGCTCGTTGCCCAGCTGCGGCTCTGGAGCTCGGGCATCTCTCCGCGTGCTCGGACGCTCGTCTGTTGCTTCCCTCTCCGCCCAGGATAGGGGAACAAAACGTGACATAAACATGAAAACTCGGAGGTCCGCGCGGATTTCTCGAATCGGCGCTGGGGCCCCCTGGCGGCTCCTCCGGCGCCGCCCCTGGCGCGCTCCGCGCGCCAGGGAGGGGGTCCCAGCGCAAATCTTAGAAATCCGCGCGGACCTCCGAGTTCTCATGTTTATGTTTGTTGTTCCCCTACAGGAGGCCAGAGAGCCGCCCCAAACCTGAGCCAAGAGGGCCTCCGGGCCGTCCAGGAGGGGCCCCAAGACGGCCCAGCAGGGCCGCAGGATCGCCCACAGGGGGAGCCCCAGGCCCCAGGACGTCGGCGTCATCGTCGTCGTCATCGATGGCCCCAAGACGCCTCCCGACACGTTCCAAAGCGTGACCTGCTCTCTCGGGGAGGCCGCGGCTGGAAGCAGGCTGGTCCGGGGAGACCCCCCGCTCCCCGGCCCGCTGCCCCTGTCCCCCCGCCGCCACACGTTCGTGGTCGTTCGTCCCCATCTTCCCCCTCTGGTCCGGGTGGTCGACGCGACGGAAGAGGAGGAGTAGGAGAGGAGGAGGAGGAGGAGGAGGAGGAGGAGGAGAGGAGGAGGAGGAGGAGGAGGAGGAGGGGGAGGAGGAGGGGGAGGAGGGGGAGGAGGAGGAGGAGGAGGAGAGGAGGGGGAGGAGGAGGAGAAGGAGGAGGAGGAGGAGGAGGAGGAGGAGGAGGGGAGGAGGAGGAGGAGGAGGAGGAGGAGGAGGAGGAGACCCCACGGGGAGCTTCTAAAGAAGGCTTTAAACAAGTCATACGCTCCACACGCCAGACGCCCCCGCTGCCAAAGCCACAGGGGGGCGGTGGCTCTCGAGCCCATGCGCGGCCTCACGCTGTGGTCAGAGCTCGGCCACGCTGTCGGCCGGTGCGCGTGTGTCCCCGGGCGCTCTGGGAGCCCTGCAGGGGAGATGACGAGGTAGGAACGAGGAGGAGGAGGAGGAGGAGGAGGAGGAGGAGGAGGAGGAAGAGGAGGAGGAGGAGTAAGAAGACGAGGAGGAGGAGCAGGGACTCGTTGGAGCCTCCGGTGTACTCTCGGGGGCCTCCTTGGCGCCTCATCCGTGGGCCTCGCGGGGGCATTTGAAGGCTCATTGGGAGGCTCTTTGGCCGTCTGAGGGCGTGCCTGGCCCGTGTGCCGATTGGGCCATCCATTCGGAGACTTGTTTAGCCCATCTTGGGCTCTCTTGAGGCCGTGCTGGCCGTCTTGGGAGCATCTTTGGACCACATTGGAGGCCTTCTCGGCCGTCCTGGAGGCGTCTTGGAGGCCATCTTGGACTGTCTTGGACGCGATATGGCCCAGTGGAGAACGAGGTTACCACGGCTTTCCGGGTGGCTGGCGGGTTGGGCCGAGACCCCATTGGGAGTTTTGGAAGAACCAAACCATTCAGAAATCCAGCACGCCATTCACCGCTGCGGCAAGCCAACAGGGGGCGGCGGATCGAAGACGCCTACGGCGAATCACCGCCGCCCCCTGTCCCTTTGGAAGCGCCTCTGTGGCCGACAGCTGGACCAGAGCTTGTCCAAGCTATCGGGCCAGTTGTTCCCCGAGTCGGTTTGGAAAGACTTCGGGGAACGCATGGGGGAGCAAGAAGAGGACGAGGGGGAGGATGAGGAAAGGAGGAGGAGGAGGAGGAGGCCTCTTGGGGCACTCTTGGGGCCTCCAGGGAGCTTCCTGGGGGTCTCTTGGAGGATGTGGGGGGGCCTTAGGGGGCTTCTTGGGGGCCTCTTTGGCCGTCTTTTGGCGTTCCTGGCTTGTCTGACGCCGTCAGAAGCCGTATTGGGAGCCTGTCTGGGTCGTCTTGCGGCCTTCTTGGGGCATATCATGGGCTCTTAGGGCTATCTTGGGCGTTTTGGAGGCCTCTTGGGCCGTTTTGGGGTCGTCTTGGAAGCCTTCTGGGCCGTCATGGGGCCATCTTGGAGGCCTATTGGGCGATCTTGGGGGCCTCTTGCGCCGTCTTGAGCCGTCGGAATGCCCAGAAGAAGCACATGCCAAAATCTTTCGAATAACTTGAGGCAAATCAATGATTTCGGCCTCTTCGTACCTTCCCGGACCTGGAAGCCTTTCGGGCCGTCTTGGAGCCCTCTTGGGGACCTCTTGGGCCATCTTGAGGCCATCTTAGGCCGTCGTGGGTGCATCTTGGGCCGTCTTGGAGGCATCTTGGGGCTATCTTAGCCGTCTTGGAGGCCCTTTGGGCAGTCTTCGGGGCCTCGCAGGGTACTCTTGGGGCCGTCTGGGGGGCCTCTCGGGCCGTCATGGGGCCATCGTGGACACCTCTTGGACGATCTTGGGGGCCTCTTGGGCCGTCTTGAGCCGTCGGAATGCCGAAAAGAAGCAAATACCACAATCCTTCAAGAACCAAAGGAAAATTAATGATTTTGGCCTCTTCGGGCCCTCCTGGAGGAATTCTTGGAGGCCTCTTGGGCTGTCTTGGAGGCCTTTTGGGGGCCTCTTGGGCCGTCTTAGGTCATCTGGAGGCCATCTCAGGCCGTCTTGGGTGCATCTTGGGCCGTGTTGGAGTCATCTTGGGGCCATCTTCGCCGTCTTGGAGGCATCTTGGCCGTCTTGGAGGCCTCTTGGGCCGTCTTGGGGCCCTCTTGGGGGCGTCTTGGGGGCCTCTTGGGCCGTCATGGGGACATCGTGGACACCTCTTGGACGATCTTGGGGCGATCTTGGGGGCCTCCTGGACCGGAAGGCCAACATCCTTCAAGAACCAAAGGAAAATTTTTGGCTTCTCCGGGCCTTCATGGAGGACCTCTTTGAGGCCTCTTGGGCTGTCTTGGAGACCTCTTAGGGGGCTCTTGGGCCGTCTTGGGCCATCTTGAGGCCATCTCGGGCCGTCTTAGGTGCATCTTGGGCCGTCTGGGAGGCATTTGGGGGCTATCTTAGCCGTCTTGGATGCCATTTTGGCAGTCTTGGAGGCATTGGAGGCCATCTTGGGCCATCTTGAGCGAACAATTGGGGGATTGAGGTCCGGGGCGATCCTTCCGGGTGGCCGGCGGGACTGGCCGAAGCCTCAGGAGGAGTTCTTTTTGGAAAACGAACCAAAACCAAAACCGAAAGGATCCAGCACGCCAGGCCTTGGCATCGCTCGGACGTGTGCATTTTTCCTTCGGCGAGGACCATCCAGGAGTATCCTTGATCATTTCGCAAAAAAACCACGCACGAAGCGAAAAAAAACAGGAAATGGACGTCCGAGCGATGGCCAGAGGCACACCTGCGATGAATCGACAGGGGGCGGCGGATCCAGTGGCCCTCGGCCGATCCCGCCACCGCGCATGGTTCTACGTCAGAGACTTCCTGTAAGCGTTGGGAGGCCTCTTGGAGGCAGTTGCCTGGCATCGCTCGGACGTGTGCACTTTTCCTTCAGCGAGGGCCGTCGAGGAGCATCCTTGATCATTTGGCGAAAAAACCACGCACGAAACCCAAAAAAGCACAGGGAATGGACGTCCGAGCGATGGCCAGGTTGTGGCGTGTGTCTTTGCGCCGCTCGGGGGCTTCTCGGGGCATCTGCTGGGCCTCTTGGGGGCCTCCTGGGGCTTCTTCGGGGCCTCTGGGGGGCCTGCTGGCGTTCTCGGGGGTCATCTCGGGGCGGAGGGCTCGACATGTCCGCCCGTGCTCCAGATGTCGGGGCCGCCTTGAGGCTCTCTTGGGCGCCTCTGGAGCTCTGGAGCGCGAGAGCATGCAACGATCGCCGGCGAGCGAGGGGGGGAAGCGAGAAGGAGAAGGCCCCCTCAGAAGGCGGCGGGGCTTCTCAGAAGCCATCCAGGCTTCTGGAGGCTCCCTGTAGGGCCAAAGAACGGCGGCGAGCGAGGGGGGGAAGCGAGAAGGAGAGGGCCTTCTGAGAAGGCGGCCTGGGCTTCTCAGAAGCCCTCCAGCCTTCCGCGAAGTGTTCTGTGTCTCCGGGGCTCAGAAGACTTCTCCGATGGCTGGGGGGCCTCCGAGCCCTCCGAGGAGGCCCGCCCCCCCTCGCTACACCCCCCGGGGGCTGGCCGCCGAAGCGAGAGCTGCCAGAGCAGGTCTCTGGCAGCCCGCCGCGGTGGCCCGAGCCGGGGGCGACGGCGCTCGCAGCCGGCGCTGGGGGAGCTCTGGGTGGCGGGCCGCCCGGCGCCTGCGCTTGGGCTTATGTCGGGCCTGCCCCCCTACAGGGGGATTTTCGACGAAAAAAGTATTCCAAAAATACACCAAATATGTCAAAAAATATTCAAAACATAGTCCCCAGATTATTTTTGTATTATTTGTGTTGTTATTTTGGGTGTATTTTTTTATTGTTCGTCGAAAATCCCCCTGTGGGGGAACAGGCTCGACGTAACCCTGGGCCGGCGCAGACAAGCCACGGCATGCTGGTGGCGCCCCCATGTGTTTTTTGTGTTTCAGCTTTGGGCGCCTGGGGGCCTCTGGGGCGAAGCAAAGCAGATGCTGCGTGGGGTCCATCGGCGCTGCTTCGAGCATCACGTGAGGATCGGGATGAAGTCAGTGTCTGGCAGGACAGCTGCGCACGCAGTTCGGCATAGGTGGGAGAGGAAGGGTTTGCAGCAGCGCTTTCCCCGACCTCCGCAGCCGTCTGCCTCAGAGGCCCCACAGAGGGCCGTGCTAGCAGCACGCATTCTGCACTGTACACGCGTGGAGTCCAGAACAGAAGGCAGCATGGGGTCCTCTGACGCCGTCTCGGAGCCTCGGACGACCAGGAAAGGCGGCAGCGCCGGAGTCCTTCACAACAGCCTATGGCACATCAGTGCGTTTTTTCTTCGGGCGAGGACCATCGAGGAGCATCCTTGACCGTTTGTCGGAAAAAAACACGCACGAAACCGAAAAAAAAACACAGGGAATGGACGTCCGAGCGATGGCGAGTCTTGGGGCGTCTTGGGGGCCTCCTGGTGCGCTCTTGTGACGCCCCGGGGCGCTCGTGGGCCGCGGACCTTCTGTAGGAGCTGGGATTCTGGTGGCAGCTTGGGGCCAGCTTCAGGAGAGGAAAAAACACACAGACACAATTAACCCTCGATTCCCCAGCAAATATGGGAAAATTTGGGCAGTGGGGGGGAAGACAGAAACCCAGAAAATATGGGAAACTATGGGGACTCGTTTGATCTGTGTGTATTTATTTGTGTGTCCTGGGGCCCCTTCACAGCTCGGCGCCCAGAGAGCTCACGCGACACACCCCGGGGAATGTCCAGGAGCGCCAGGGTAATAGGGTAAACGTTTGAAGATGACTCCCCTGAACGCCGACAGTAATTAAACCTCTGGGCGCTTCACGTCGTGTTCAAGGCACCCTGGCGTGTCTATATATATAAATATACATATAGATATACACAGAGAGAAAAAGAAAGAGAGAGAGAGAGAGAGGGGCGGGGGGTAGGAAGTAGGAAGGGGGATGGAGACGGGATGGGAGGGCCAAGCAAAGGACCGCGCGAGGCATGGGGCATCTTGGAGGCCACTCTCGTGCTGTGCTGTCAGGCGAGAGGGATAGCCCACATACAGGAACGAGGAGACAAGCTCACACCCAGCTCACAGGCGGACGGAGGCACACTCGTGACGTACCTGTGAGCTCATACCCCCCTCCAAGGGGCCTGCAAGCGGGTTGCATGCACGCAAGTGGTTGCGTGCCCGGGGCGGCGTCGTCGCCCTGCGCCCCCTCAGGCCGAGGGGGAGGTCTCGCAGCTACGGTCCGCGCAGTGAACGCGCTGCGGGGGTAGACCGCCGGCGCTGTGAGCAGAAAATCAGGGCCCGAGCAGAGAGCGCTTGAATGCTGGCCGCGAGAGCCTTCCCAGAGGTCCGACGCTCCAACCCAACAAACAACTGGAGCGGTCTGTTTTTGGCCGTTTTCGGCTTCTGGAGGCGAAAGATTCAGGGAGAACGACACGACTCCTGGAGAAAGACCGGCCCTAGGGAAGTGGTCCGGATCCCCGGGTCCACGCTTCGGAAAAATTGGAGCAGCCGGATGTTTGGGTTTATCTGTGCCGGCGCACATGGTTCCAGCAAAGGTTCCCAAGGGCGCCATGGAGCACCATCACGAGGCCGCCAGGCACGCGCACGACGTGGCACAGCTTGCAAGGATGCTGAAGGATCGGGCGTTTGATATTCAATTCGAATTTCGTATTGCCTTTTGTTGACGTACACGGTGAGCCGGTCGGTCGTTCGGGCGGGGCCCGTGCGGGCCTTGGGCAGGGCACCAGTAATTAGGGGCGTAGGCGACGCGTGGGCAAGGCATCGTATGCAGAGGGGCTTGCTGGGTGGGTCCGTGCGGCATGCGTCGAAGGGAGGACGGCATATAGACGAGGACGGCCAAGGTGAATGTTTGAATTGGATGTGCGCTATTTTGTATTCGGTTGTTGGCGACGCGCATCTTCTTCTTGAACAACATGTGATGGAGGCACGCGGAGCTGAAACATCAGAATGTTCGAATAACGCATGTCCTGCCACCACGTGGTTCCCAACTCGCTGATGCGCCCCCATGAGACTCCAAGTTGTTATGGTTCAAGGTTTCTGGAGCGGCTCCAATAATGTCCGTTCCTGTCATTTTGTTATGTCCCGGCTTGTTCGGTTTCGTCCCATACCACCGAGCACAATTTGTCGTTGCCGCTTGGTCAGTTCATGTATCCGCTAAAGGTTTGGTTATGCACGTGTGCACTTCTTTTTTGTTTGATGAATCGTCAGGCGATGCATTCCCAAAACACTGTTTGCATGTATTGGTTCTTACTTGTCTGGCTAAGGAGTTGGATGGATCCGCCGAGGGGTTTCGCCACGTTGCCTTCCGTGGGCGCCTCGTGTGCGCCCCGTGCGCTGGATGGGTCCGCCGAGGTTTGGCCACGCTGCCGCCCGTGGGCGCCTCGTGCGCAACTAGATAGCGCACACCACCTAGATTGCACCACATAGCTTGTACGTACCTCGTAGCCTTTACCAAATCGAGGGCGCCACATAGCTTACACCGCATAGCTCACCTGTCATAGCTCACACCATGTAGATTGCCCCACATAGTTTGCACCACATGAATTGCACTAGAACGGTTCTCCTTTCTTAAAGAAACCCGAATTTCTCGACCCCCCCCCATCCTGAGACGTAGCAAATTACATATGGTTTTGCCTCGCCGCTCATTTTCCATATCAAGTTGGATCATCTCAGGCTGCCCTTTTTGTCGACCCCCTCCCATCCCTGTCAATTAATACTACGCGCGCACACTCGTCGATCGCAAAAGATCAGTCTCCATGAACCACCCTGCACATGTCGATGTGCATGAATACCAGCATGCACTAGCCACGCAAGGACTCTCTCACAAAAACTTACACGATGTATCACACATCTGGCAAAATTCTGCCCGCGCCAAATTGCTGAGCCATAGGCCGCCAGATGTGTTTAACTATTTCGCTCAGAACCACACCTTCATTTCACCACGCTGCGCATCTGCGTTGATCCAGCATGCGCCCAGAGCACGATCCCGTGTTGCATCTCACCATGCGGGCCACACGCGTTCGCCGCCATCCACGCGCATATTGCACCACGTAGCGTTCACCACATCGCGCACACCACACAGAATGCACCACATACATACAGATGTAACTTAGCTTACACGACATAGCTCATATCACAAATATTGCACCACATAGTTTACACCACATAGCTCACACCACATAGGTTGCACCACATATAGTGCGGCACAGCGTACACCTCACAGTTCACACCTCATACATTCCCTTTCTGGAAGGAGAGTAGACTCGACCACCCTCTCCCACCAGGGTTCCTGCTCCCCCTGGAGCACTGCACATTACAGATGGTGTCGCCGTATCGTTTATTGCCCAGTCGAACTGAGACCATGCCAGGCAGGTTGGGTATTGCCCCCCGTCCTTGACGAATCAGACTATGCGCGCACACCCGTGCATCTCAAGAGATCATGTTTCAGGAACGCCTTGCAATAAAAACGTCCGAGAATTCACGCGATCGCACATGCCGAAACCATATCAGACACCAGGGGTGCAGTCATGCCAGCACCAAATCAACAAAACCGCCCTGAGGAATCCCACTACAAGCCTTGCAATGCCTTTGCCCGCGAGCAGTTGCTGACGCTATAGGAAGACCGTTTGAGTTTAGCAATGTCGTCCAGAACCCGCATCCTCATCTTACGCGGCGAACCGATGTCTACCCAGCACCCAGCTCACGACCCCGTATCACATAACGCCATGCGGGCCACACGCGCGCCACGCCACGCGCGCGTCGCGAAATCCTTCCAAAACCATGGGTGTTCGAAGTTGTTCAGCACAGGCCTCGTCAACAACGTAACAAAACCAACGGCGCTTCAACCAAATTCGTGCCAGGGTTTTTCGATCTCCGCGCGCGCCTTCCCTTGCCGTCACCCTGGTCAGCGTCTCCGCATCACGTCTTTGTCATCGACAATCGTCGCCATGCCGCCATCATCACTGAAACACCATCACCACCGACTCATGGACATCATCATCACCATCGGCGTGATCAGCATCGGCACTGTCATTGGCCTTACCGTCGTCATCATCGCCACCATTATTGCTACTGGAATCATCATCGCCGCCTTTGTCGTCGATACCGGGCCCGCCCGACCCACCGACCCGCATTGAAGTGCCCGCGCGCCAGCGCGGCCTTTGACACGCGTTGGGACGTAACCATCGGTAAGAACCGTCGCAGCCGCATCGGCTGTGCCAAACCAGCTGGCCGCTTTGCACGCCTCCTTGCGCGAGACAGCGCGGCCGCAGAGATGCGCTAGCAAGGGCCAAGCAGACATTGCAATTATGGCGCATGGATTTTGCAAAACAAGTTCCGGAGCAGCGGAGTCCACAACGCATGAGTGGACCGCATCACATAGCACACACATCAACAATGTATCATCTCACGTCTTGGAGTCCACGTTGGCAAAATTTGGATGTTCTTGGAGTTGTCACCTCGCCAATCGACGTGGATGCCCATCACCGTTGGCCACGAAAGTGCGACGGGCAGACTGCAGCAGCTCCATGAGTAAATTGTGCGTGTTGGGTTGCCTTGCCTTGGCACCTGCAGTCCGAGTCTACGCGACCCCGCGCGCGCGCGCGCGCGCCAACACCGGCTCAAGGTCTCAAGAAGGGACTGCCGGCCAGGCCTGCGGCAGGCGTTGTTGGTAGCACGGCGCCCGCGCGCTCCTGCAAGGTCGTCCGCCGCCTGCCCGTGCGGTTACGTGTCCTGCTTTCGCCCCCCTGCTGTCCGCAGGAACCGATCGATATCGAGCCGTTCTGCCGAGGACACTTCATTCGTTTGCACATGTCACTGCGAATTTCTCAGAGCAGTTGAGAATGACTAGGCTTGCATGAATTGGCACAGGGGGCGAGAGCCAACGTTCGATTCGATGGTTCGTGACCCCCTGGCCCCACGGTGCCTAGTGTGGCCCTCAAGTGGGCGTGAGTGTTGGAGTGTTTGGACGGTTTCAGCTCTGTGTTGCATTTGTCGCCTTCCATTGCAGGCATACGTCCACACACACACGTAAACTATAGATCCGCATTTACATTTGTCTGTCTGTCTGTCTGCCTATCGATCTCTATGTTTGCAGGTATGTATATATGGGTGTATACATACATGCAGATGTGTATACGTATATCTTTTATATATAATTATATATAGATTTAGAGCGAGAGAGAGAGAGAGAGAAAGAGAGAGATGTGTGTGTGTGTGTGTGTCCCGTACTTGTTCGCTCCCGCGCCAGGGACAGTGCGGCCGCATTGTTGCCAGCAATGGCGACGGTGCCCGCCACGCCCGTGCGTCGCACGCGCCGCCGTTGGGTGCTTGATATTTGCTCACAGGAGCGGTGGAAACAACGGAAAAGCACCCATGCCATGCCGCAAGCGTGACAAGAACGAAAGGCACATTTTTTTGTTGGGGAGTGTCCATAGCTGCTCACAGACGGAGGCGCTTCAACTCGTTGAGCCTGAACATTGGCAGGCCAGGCACTGGATTGTAATGTGGCGGCGCTGCCAGGTGGTGTTGTTGGGGATTCGAATGTGTTTCCGAGCGCATTATTTCACTATTTCATCGTCGAGTTTAGTCATCTTGGATCGGTTTGGACAGCTTGCTGATTCGCTTCAGGGCTCACGAGACGCTAATGGCGTCTCCTTTGAATTTCGATTGCTTTCGCCTGGTCGCTCGATGTCTTTCCTGGGCAGTACTAGGGTGGCCTCGCCTTCTCGGGTTGTCTCGCGACCTTGACGGTGCGGCCCCTGGCCCAGTTTAGGAGGCATTGGAGTCGTTCTGGGTTGTCTCTCGGAAAGGGGGTACACGCCGGTCGGTGAAAGTAGATATTTCAGGATTCCCAGATCCCGATGTATTTCAAACGCCTTCCGACTTCAGGAACCGATCTGATGTTGTTGCGTGTTGTTATTCTCTGGCAGATGTTGTTGCCCACTTCTTCTGGCCGACGGGTAATGTTGAGCGAGTGTTGAATGTTGCTCCCTCGGGGCCGCACTGGGCCTGTCTTGGGGCCATATCGTTTTCCTCCCGAGCCCGGCCGCATGCGACAACAACAGTCGCACGGATCACGTGGTTGCTCAATGCGTGGAGTGATTGGAACGACTGGCATGCCATCTTCGGAACTGCTTACGGATACGGTGCGGCCCGTTTGATTGTGGGTGCGCAGGGGGATGGGTGCACATGACACAGACGCAATCGCTTCAGTTCATGGAGGTTGCTGCGTATGATCGTCACCTGGTTTCACATTACACAGCTTCGTGCACATAAGGGCCCTCTGGAACCTCGAA